GATGGTTTTCACTCTTCCCAGTATGAATATGTTGAGCTCTTTTCATCTTTTGCTCATCAATATTTATTTCTGATATATTGATTTAGAGTTCAAGGAATTCATTTCTTTTTTTTTGTGATTAAGGCAAAAGGAATGACTAATGACCTTACTGGGGCTATGGCCAGCTCAACTGAGGATACTGAGAGGCCAGACAGAACATCAAGTGTTAATGTGGGACGTCCGTGGATGGATCTTCCTGCCAAAGTGAATGTAAATGAAATAATTTTTTGTTTGTTGCCTCTGTGATTCTCATTCTCTGTGGTCTGATGTCATGCTTAAACTTTTCAGAACATTCAGCGTTCTCGTAGAGATGCACCAAATGATCCTATGCATGACAAGAATATTGGTACTGCTTATGGAGAATATGAACATGTTTCTGATCTTTCGCATAATTCTGGCTTGGGTATTGGGAGAACCAGTGGAAGGGTTGCGGACCAAGGACGTGACAAGCCTTGGTTTGGATCTGGAAGTGGTGTCTCAGAGACAATTTCAAGCCAGAAAAATGGTTTCAATCTAAAGCCTGCATTTCCAAATTACTCAACTGCCAAATCTGCAAATGCCGATGTGCATCTACAGACAACGCAAGGCATTGGAAGCAAAAGTAGCAGTGGGATGTCTAATAGCTGGAAAAACTCTGAGGAAGAGGAGTTTATGTGGGACATGCACTCAAGATTATCAGAACAGGAGGCAGCCAATATCTCTAGTAATTCGAGGAATGATTATTGGGCTCCTGATGATTTAGAGAGAACGGTGAGCTTGCAATGATGGCACTCTGAATATCGATTCTGCTATTCTCTTGCATGATATTCTAATAGTTATGCAACTTGCATTATTACAGAATCAACAGTTTCTCTTGAGATGATAGAGCTGAAGTTTGTTTTATCGATTCACCAGTTGCTATGTTCTTTTCTCACTTAGATACTACTTGTGCTTGTTTGTGCTGTTGTAGATGTGTTGTATTTCCCCATTCAGAGTGCACTGATTATTTCTTGGACGTGCCCATTGTTATATTTGCTTTAATGGGATAGGTTGTCCCATTTTTGGCTTATTTTGGAGAGGGTCTTATTCTCGTATTTGGGTTGTTATTAAGCCTATGATCACGTTTGGTTTAAGCTCATGTTCTTCTTATTTTGAAGACCCTGAATATTCTGCAAAATCAGAAATTAGGATCCATGAGGACTGCCTGAGTTGTTAATATTTTGTATTTTTTCTTCAACAATATAACAAGTCCAGCCATAATTTCTTTCAATTGTATGCCAATAAAATTTTGCTGACAGCTCATGTAAAAATTTTTGCCTCTTTGTTATGAGCCCCCAAAAGCATAAGGAAAGTTTTGGCCTTGTTGCTTTTGCGGATTCATAACACCTTTCATATCTGAGCTTTGTAAAGTAATTTTTTTTTTGTCCGATTGCCTTAAACTGGAAAATCGGAAATAGTTGTATTTTTTGTTTTCTTCATCATGTTTCATGACTCTTTTCCATTGGATTGCACTGTTCCTTTAATGTTTACCATGTGAATTGGGACTTAATTTTCCACTTATCTAATTTTTTCTTCATGTAGGAGCTTGAAAGTCAAATTGAGAAACCTCCAAATGTACCAGATGGTTCAAGGTTTGATAGGGAAACTTCTATTGATTCAATGACCAGTGAACATAAAGGCCAGCCTGCATATGTCCACAGGACATCATCCCCCTGGCCAGAGTCACTCCCCACAGATATCTTGGTTCATTCTAGGGGCTCTGTAATTAATCCAGGTCATTCAGAAGGCTGTTCTTCCAGTCTTGGTGGCTTGCCGGGAAGTGCAAAATCTTCTCTTCCTAGGAAGGGAATTCGCCCACTAATAAGTTCACATCAGAGCGGAACTTCTGGTTTTGGAATTTCTCAGAACACAACTTCTGGATCAGCTGCGTCAGTGGGGCAACAACAGTTTCCGTCGCTGGGAGCTGCATCGCCATCTAGGCAATCGCCTATGCACCAACATCCATCGTCACCTTTTTCGCCACACCATCCCCAACAATTACAAAATCTATCTGAGCAAGGCTACCAAAAAGTTCATTCTGTGTCTCGGCCAGATTCAAAAACATTGCAAATATCGGCACAGTCAGTTAATTCTGCTTCTTTGGAATCCTTGCCTGCAGTGCCTTCGAGTACTCAACTAAGTAACTTGCAAAAAAAATTGCAGCAACCAGACTTACCAGCTTTGTCTGCCTCAGTTCCTTCTTTTCAGCTCCCTCGCCGTTATCTCGTTTCACAGCCATTACATCTAGACTCTACACAGTCTGAACTCTCCAGTCAGAATCGAAACCTAGGTCCGTCTCAAACCTCAAAATTTGGAACTTCTGCAAAAACAGGAAATACATCGAGCCATCCTAATCCTCTTGATGCTGAAACCTCAGGACAATCAACTAAGAGTAGCTTGTTGGCTGCTGTCATGAAGAGCGGAATCCTCTCGAACAATTCACATACTGTTAACATACCTAATCAGAGTTTTAAAGAGGCAGTAAGGCGAACAGGACAGGCTGTTCAGCCTCCTCTTCCGAGTGGACCTCCCCCGACTGTCTTTACATCTTCAAGGCCTAGGGTTGCATCATCGACTTTGCCAGCCTCTGGTTCCTGTGATGACATTTCAGCCTCTTCAAATAGTTCTCAGAGAAAGTTAGATCAACCACTGATTCCATCTGGCCCACCACCTTCGTCTCTTGCTGGTAGTGCATTGCCCCAGACTTCAGAAGTGGAGAGCAAGGCCCCAGATCCAATTTCAAACCTTTTGAGCTCTCTAGTTGCAAAAGGTCTGATATCTGCATCGAAATCAGATTCACCATCCCTGATGGAAACTCAGGTTCCTACTCAATCACAGAACCAGAGTCCAGCTAATTCTACCAGTAGCCCCATGCAGGTTACTACACCAGTTTCTGTTCAATCAGATGTTCCACTTGCTGCATCTTCCTTGGACGAGGTATCAGTTATAGAACCTTCAGCTAAAGGTTCTGCTAACCTACCTCAATCGACCACAAAAGAGGCAGAAAACCTCATTGGAGTGCAATTTAAGCCAGATATAGTCCGTGAATTTCATCAAAAGGTAATTGATGGCCTCTTTGATGACCTTCCATATCAATGCAGCGAATGTGGTCTTCGCCTTAAACTTAAGGAACGCCTTGATAGACATTTAGAGTGGCACGCTAAGAAAAAGCTTGGACCAAATGTTACAGATAGGCCATCGAGGACATGGTATCCAAATTCAGACGACTGGGTTGCTGGAAACTTGGGACATTTGGGATCCGACTATGTTGGCTCATTGGATAAGTCTGAAGGGACATTGGAAAGGGAGCCAATGGTTCCAGCTGATGAAAATCAATATGCATGCATGTTGTGTGGCGAGCTTTTTGAAGATTATTTCAGCCAAGAAAGAAATCAATGGATGTTCCAAGGGGCAGTTTACATGACCATTCCAGAGGGAGATATGGCTGTAGGAGCTACAGATGAGAGCACTGTTATTGTGCATGCAAAATGTAGAAATGAAGATTCAGATTTTGGCTTGGAGCTTAACGATGGAATTAAAGTGGTCAGTTCATTGTCCTTGATGTCTTACATGATACAATCTCAAACTATTTCAGATTCTGTTTGATTTTATATTTTTAATTGTTGTTTATGATGGTTTCTTTGTTTCTTGGTTGGGGAACCAATATATGTCGTATATTTCACAATTGGTGGGATGTCTTCTATGCATACTGTGTGGAAGGTCTTCTGTTATGTGATCTATTTCCTTTTGTTTGTAGCATTATTTTTCTGGCACTTGACAGGCCGTACTTTTTGGCAGGAAAAGGACGGATAGTTTACAAGGTAAGAAAGAGAAGTCACCGGGATGCAAATGCCATTGACAGGAACTGATGGAGGAAATACAGGTTTACATACAGAGCTTAAATGTGTGTGATATTCAGATGTTAATTTTGTTTACCTCGATCATTCATGAGACCTGACCATTAGTGTTCCTGCTCTGATTTTTCTCTTCTATTTTCTGGATTCCTTATATGATAATAGAAATATATAAAAAATCGAAGATAGTTTGCACCTTAATGTCTTTCTCTATTGTGCTCATAGCTGCTGTTTCTTTTATTTGTTTTTCAATTTCCTCATCCGAGCTTGTGCTTGATCCTGCATTTGACAATGAGAAAGCGAGGGAAGGAAGGAGCATTCGAAATCTGTTTTTCTGGTTCACCCTTGTATCAGCAGATGGTTCGTTAAACATCAATAGTGCCTTTTTCCTTCCCTGTTATTTTCCTTTCGGCCTGGGTTTGTTAGCTTGGGAATTATACAGTTTCAGCAGAATAGCGGGGTTTTTAATATATTTTCTACTCTTGTAATAGATTTTGGTTTTTGCTGGATGTTCTTGGTGACCCATTTGGTTATGGATGAATTTGAAAATGATGTAATGGTAAAGATGTTGTTCCTCTAAGATGGAAAATTTTGTAGAAGAAAAGTTATGATGTTTTAGCCGTATGGTGGTAATTCATTAACTTTTATGTGAGAGTTTTTTTTCTTTTCATAATTGTTGTATGACAAATTATGCACGGTTGAGGGTTGGAAAAGGTGAAAATATTTACAAGTTACTTAGCACTAAATTATTTACTGTTGTATGGAGTTTCTATAGAAACCCTAAAAACTGTGGTGGCTGGAAATTTTTCACTTGGCATTCATGTTGTGGTTACTTTTGTCCTCATGTGACATGGCCCCACTACAATGCAACAGGTCAGCTGACATCCGAAAGGATATATAACTGACATATAAAAAGACTTTGGATTCCTTCCAAATATTTGTTTTCCTTTTCTTCCGAGTATCTACAAATACTTAAACAAAGCCCCAATGGCAGCAACTTTTAAAAAAAAAAAAATTAGGCTAACCAGATACCATGAAGACGTATGCTATTTTTTTTATGAACATATTCGATTAAAATATTTGTTTTTACTTGAAGATATGAAAAACGTAGGGGACAGGAGTATCTCTTACTCTTAAATTGGTTTTTCTGTAATTTTAAAGCGTAAATAAAGTAAAAACGGTAATAATAATTTTATGTAGATGGGAAAAATCACACTGTCGGGTGTTTTAACTGGGGGGTGGGAATCAATCAAACTAAAATTATAATTTCTTAAATGAGAAATTAGTATTTTAGTATTTATAAACTTGGCTAATAAAAGTAGTTCTGGATGAGAGTGGAATTTATTTATTTGATTTTTTTTATTAATTTGTGTTTATTGTGGCTACTAAAAGAAAATATATGCTAGTTTATGTTCTATTTTAATTTAATAATTTATGATCTTCCAGGCATATATCATAAGATGCAACGAAAAGAGAAACTCAGTGAAATTTACAAGATAATAAACACATAATATTTTATTTATTTATGTATCTCGAGTTATCAATATAAGTAATAGCATCAACCCAACCCCACATCTCCATCCATCTACTTTTCTGTAACGCCCTTCAAAGCCTTTTTTTTTTTTTTTTTTTTTTATCTGATTAACGAACGGAGGCGACCGAGTACACAAAAAGGGAACGGGAATCTAAGGCTTGCGGTGCTGAGTATAAATGTAATCGAGGTGAGCATCTGCAATCATCCTTCTCTTCACGCATTCTTCATCTCTCTCGTCGCATTCCTCTGCGCCCATCAGCTGCGGACAACAACCATCCGAAATCAGTTTTAACTAACACACGAATTAGATCAGAGAGATTTACCGAATGAAAATAAGAGAGTACGTTTACATTGAGAGTTCCTCGAGTGAAATTCCTCCCAATCGTTCCATAACTCCGGTTTGTCTTCAACTCCTTTTCACCTGTAAAGAAGGATCCAGAACGTTTCATCAATTTCTCATCCCAAGCTAGCAACATATATCATACAGAGAGAGAAATATACATATACATATAAATAGGCAGAGAGAGAGAGAGAGAGAGAGAGAGAGAGAGTTACCTTGGGTGTGAGGAAGAAGACGGGAAGCAGAAGCCGGAAAGGAGAGAAGAAGAAAAGCAGAGAGAAGAAAGAGGAGGAATAAATGGATGTTTAGATTCATTGATTAAGCTGTCTAAAATATTGTCGTCTTCTTCTTCTTCTTCTGTTCCTGTTTGGTTGTTCTGATTTTGTGTGTTTGTGAGGAGGTTCGAGTGAGTGAGAGAGAGAGAGAGAGAATGGAGAAGAAAGGGTGAGTTTATAAATAACAAAAGAAAAAGCAAGTGCTGGGCTGGGCTGGCATCACCACCATATGCATGTTGTAGTAGGGAGTCAGAACCCTTGACACGGCAGTTACATCCTGCAGAACACAGTTACTGGGTCCCACACATCTCCATTGACCCCTCTCTTCTATTTTCTTCTTTTTTTATTTTTATTGCAATTATTTTAATTATCAATTCAAATTTTATGTGATTGCAGCAATAATTTTATTATTTATTTATAAAAAAAATTAGTAATTCGTAGAGTTTGATATTTTTTTAAAAAATCCTCAGACCACATCTCTCTCACGTGACTATTTTATCTCACGAGCACGAAAGCCAATAACGCGGTCTTAGTACGCGCACAATGCCAAATGAAAATATTAAATTAAAATTAAAATTAAAATTATTTATTTACAATTTTGTGAATGTATATATAACATACATAATTGTAGTTTTGATTGGGACATTGTGATGGATGGTCCACTACTGAAATTGTGTAAACAAAAGCAAAGACGTAAACCCCACTCCCACCATTTTATCATTTCATCACACTCTTCTTTTTAATTTTAAATATATATATTTACTTCGTCTTTTTAATTATCATCCACAATTAAATTGGTAATATCTATAAGAAAAAAAAATATATATATATATGTATAAATCATTCTTAATTTAAATTTTTAATATTTATTTTCTCTGAATATATGGATCCAAATCAAACTATTTAGAGATTGTTAAAATACTAATCCTATTATTATTAATGTGTTAGAATATTAAAATATGAGTTTTTATTTTAAAATTAAAAATTTTTTTAGGATGGTAAGAGAGAATGATGCGACCGAAGATGCTGATGGGTCAACAAGTCAACTCTTGGGGACCAAGAGCCCGACAGCTGTCCTCCATTCTCACATTTCTATATATTCCCATCACTTCCGCGCACCTACAAAACTTTTTTTTTTAACCTTCGACATCATCTCGAGCAATAATTTAATTATAAATGCACTTAAGCAAATTTATATTCAATAATTATCCATTTAATTATCTTTTAAACTCAACGTATCTAATCTAATTAAATTATATGTACAAACACACACACACACACACACACACACAACAACAACAACATTTAGTAACATAAAAATTATGGGAGTGGAGATAATAAGAATATTAATATTATGCTTGAGATTGGACGACAATTAAAAAATAAATTAAATTAAATTACATTTTTTTTTTTGTTTTTTGTTTTTCAATTGTCTCCCATTTCACGTCTTCTCTAATCCTTTTTTGTTTAATTTTATATTAATTAAAAAATAGATTAACTTAATTTATTAAATAAAAGTTGTATAGTGTTAATTTTAATAATTAATTTAGAAGCAATTATAGGATTAGATGTTTTTGTTGGGTTTTTCCAAAACAAAGCTATTTTTTATAATAGCCCCCACTTCTCAATTTGCTTCACTTTATGCTTTTTACATACCATTGATGCGCAAATTTCTCCTAACCCTAATGCAATAAAGCCTGCGAAACACAAACACTCTTCTTTCCTGATTAATATTCTTCCATAATAAGATATATATATATATATACATACATACATATATACACGTATATTCGAAAATACAACATTTAATACTCGTATGTATTTGCAATGGAAAGGAATACTGTGCTGATGATTCCCTTTGTAAATATTGATGCCATATATCAATTTATTAAACCTTGAGACCCAACAAAAATTATTCACTAATGTTTGATTTTCATGAAATTATGAGTGATGGAATGTTTGTACTAATTAGGTTTATTCTTTAAACATATTTCTAATAGTCTTTTTTTTTTATAAAAAAAAATATTGCGTGTACTTTTATAATCTTATATTTTATAAACAACTTATAGAAAAAAAAAATGTATATATCGTAATAAATAATAAACATATGAGATACAAGTGATATTAACAATAGATACTTAACCACCAAGTTTAGTTCGTCTTTGTTTAATAATAACCAAAGTACTGGAAGTAAAACCCACTTTGTCTACTTAATTAAAAATCATAATCCTTAACACCGATATGTGTGTGTGAATAAAAACCAAAAAAGATACGAGAAGACTTTAGGAGAAAGTAAAAGAGAAGCGTTTATTTTCTTTGCAGGACCAAAAGCTGTTAAAAAATTATTAATTATACATAATTTATTTTATAATATATTATATTAATAAAAATATAAGCTATATATATATATATATACAAATTAAAAAATGTCGTCATTATCTTACAATTAGATTATTATTATTATTTTTTAAAAAAAAAGAATGACACGAAATTATTTAAATTATATCATAAGAAATAGTTTGAAATTCAGTAATAATGGAAGGGGTGTGACTTTTGTAACAACGTGTCGTAGTCAGACATTAATGGTGCGTGAACTTATAATTGGAACTTTTGGTATCGACAAAATTCTTTTTGACCATCGCCATTCTACTATCAATTTCAATTTGTATATAACAATATTTGTTTTGGCTTTTGTAGGCGCGGACAAACAAAACATCAATCGGTACGCAATTTATATATTCATATTCTATAATTAACATTTACGCCTTAATAATACATATATTTCACAGGGAAAAATATATATATATATAAATTCGTTTACCGTGGATTAAATAGTTAATGATATTTTATCACACGTACCCATGTCATATATTATGAACAATTTAAATTTTGACATTCGAAATTAATTTATTATGGCAAAAAATAAGTTAAATTGAAGTTGGAAAAATTTGGAGAGCAAAATATCATACAAATTTGATTCGTCCACGTGATAAACATTTTTTATGACATCTGATTTGATAGTGAATTGACTTAATACGCCATTGCGGAATTTTAAGTGAAGCCCCGATGACTCTAGTGTTCTTCGTTGATTATTCTGTAATGTACCTATCATCGGAAAAAAGTTATTATTACGTAAATTACTATTTTCGAAGGTATTTATATTTGTACGTAACTATTATATAAAACTACATACATACATACATATATGTGTCTATAATTACTAAAGAAAATGTTATAAAAAATTTATAATTATGATGTCGTAGTAAATGCCCACTTCATAATTGGAAAGTGTAATTTCCTAATTTATGTTTGATTAATATTTGGAAGTGTTTTCTTGTACAAAATAAACATTGTTGATTTTATCTTAATTAACATGTAAAGTTAAGATTTAAAAATAAACAAATGGTATGTTTTTTTTTTATAAATTTTGTAATTTATTTTTAGGCCCACAAATTTGATTTCAGACTTTAGACTTTAGACTGAAGAGATTATCCTAATGTAATAATCTTCCGTTCTTATCCCTTTTGGAAATCTGGATATGACAGCTTAATTATAATACTAAATTTGATTTTAAGATGAATTTACAGAAGAATTAAATGTTTTGGAAGCAACAACTTAGGCAAGGTTGAGATGGCCGAGTTGGGTCTAAGGCGCCAGATTAAGGTTCTGGGTCCGAAAGGGCGTGGGTTCAAATCCCACTCTCAACATATTCGTGCCTTTTTTTATGATTTTTTTTTTTGTGGGCTCATAAATTATTTACAATTTAATAATTTGTTAGAATCCTCATTTGATTTTAGAGTTTAGAATTATATTGTTCGGAAGCAACACCCACGCAAAGCTGAGATGGCCGAGTTGGTCTAAGGCGCCAGATTAAGGTTCTGGTCCGAAAGGGCGTGGGTTCAAATCCCACTCTCAACATATTCGTGCCTTTTTTTATGATTTTTTTTTTTGTGGGCTCATAAATTATTTACAATTTAATAATTTGTTAGAATCCTCATTTGATTTTAGAGTTTAGAATTATATTGTTCGGAAGCAACACCCACGCAAAGCTGAGATGGCCGAGTTGGTCTAAGGCGCCAGATTAAGGTTCTGGTCCGAAAGGGCGTGGGTTCAAATCCCACTCTCAACATATTCGTGCCTTTTTTTATGATTTTTTTTTTTGTGGGCTCATAAATTATTTACAATTTAATAATTTGTTAGAATCCTCATTTGATTTTAGAGTTTAGAATTATATTGTTCGGAAGCAACACCCACGCAAAGCTGAGATGGCCTAGTTGGTCTAAGGCGCCAGATTAAGGTTCTGGTCCGAAAGGGTGTTGGTTCAAATCCCACTCTCAACACGTTTTTTCCATGATTTTTCTTTTTTTTTTGGTGGGCTCATAAATTAATTACAACTTAATAATTTGTTAGAATCATTATTTGATTTAAGACGAATAAATTTTACGATTATCATTTCTGGAAGCAACACACAAGGTTGAGATGGCCGAGTTGGTCTAAGGCGCCAGATTAAGGTTCTGGTCCGAAAGGGCGTGGGTTCAAATCCCACTCTCAACATAGTAATAAATAATAGTTTTTCCTTCTGGTGAAATCTTTTTCTGCTTTTTATTTGTCTTAAAAAATAATGAAGGGTAACTATTAAGACTACAAAAAACAAAAGGGTGATATTGCACATTATTTGTATTTGTATTAAATGGTGTATTGCAATTTTGTTAGTTATATGAATCTTTGAATATAATCTTGTATCAAATTACTTATTTTATTTTAAATTTTTTTACACATGGCACTCAATTTTAAGAGAATGCATTAGTGATAATTATTATTAGAAAATAATGGTGCGATTTTAAAATATGCCTAAGAGTACAATAACACTTTCTAATTTTTCTCCCAAAAAAAATTTTCATATTATTATAACTTTTTAGTTTAAATTATCTTATAGGAACTATAAAATTTAAATCTGATTTGTCCATATGATTTTCAGTCATTACAAAATTAAAACATGTTTACCATATCATGTTAATAAATAAATTAACATAACTCATTTAGATTTGAAAAAAATTATGTAAATTTCCAATTTATTCTAACTTTTTTATCCAAAAAAATTTATCAAGCTACATAAATTTAAGATCATGGTCCTCCAAAATAATCTCACTAGCACATAACCCATATGCAAATAATTTGTACTGATGGGGTGGGCTTAAATTCCAAGCTTCTAAAACTTTTAAAGCAACCAAATATATTATTTTGGTTACTTGCCTAAAAAATTATTATTATTATTATTATTATTATTATTATATTAAATGATAATAGTAATAATAATCATAATCGATAAACCTCGGCCAACATCTCGACTAGTTTTTAAGTTGTGTGGGTTGTCTAAAGATAGAATCATTGGGTCGGCCCATCTCACTGATGACTTAACCCACCCCATAAATTAGTAGACTTTTATAAGATGGCCCAAACTTGAATTTGACGTTATAAAACATGTTAATAAATAAGTCGTGAATTTTATCATTTATTATTTATTGGGTAAAGATAAACCACTAATAAATTAAAAATTCTAATACGTAAATAATTAAATAAATTGGCTCGCTCACACGAACGCTTATACTCGTACCTTTTCACACGTGAGATTCTAGAATGTATAACTTAGAAAATAAAATATATCATTAATGGAAATATTTATAGAGAAAAAATTGGTACAAATTAGGAGGAGGGTGGGGGTGACAAATTTCAAAAGGACTCACGAGCGACGAGTCCATGAGACAGTGCACGTGAGTTGTGTCAGACGGGATTAGTCAAATTTCATGGTTTGCATGTTTTTTTTATTTATTTGAAAAGTAAAATAAAATTATATTATAATGGACGAAGGTCAAAACAAAAGCTTGAAAAAGAGAAAAAAAAAAAGAAGAGAAAAATAGCTTAAATATGAAGAAGTCAATAAATATTCATTTTTTTTATATCAATAAATATATTTATTTATATTAAAAAATATATGTATAGTTGTTTAAAATAAAAAATATAATGTAAATTAAAGATAGTCAACGAGCATTCAAGTTTCTCGTCACTTACACCCATTAATATTGATGTCCTTCGTCTTTTGTCAACCCTTGTCTTCAATGCGACTTTATCGAGGTCAATATAAACAATATATTTATTCATTTATATTTTTATTGAGTTTAATTTTTTAAAATTATAATTATTTTCCCTTCTATTACTTATTTTAGTAATAGGAACACAAATATAGCAAAATTAAGAACATGTAATATTACTATAAAATTTATGCATAGAAGATGTTTGATATTCAATTTACACCTAACTGGCATCGAATTATCTGTAGAGAAATACAAATAATAATATTAAAACCAAGAGGGAATTAATTATAGAATCTAAAATTTGTATAGTAATGCCGCCAGTGACAATTAATCTACGGTCTGATAAACAACATGAAACTTTTTTTAAAAAATAATAATAATAAATTAATATATAATTTGTTAATCATATAATACATATTTAGCAATAATAATTTAATTTTTTTAAAGAAAAATATACATATATCCAAATAATAATATAATTTTCTAACAAAAATAAGTTGAAAAGTTCATAAAAATAGGAACACCAATTTTCCTTAAGACATTAATTACCGGGGTTAGTGCGTTGTTGATGTAAGAAAAATTTGCCTGATTATTTGACATTGTAGTTTGGTTTGACTTCTTCTGTGTCCGTTGATGACCACTCCTCACTCTCTTCCTCAATTGGTAGCCTAACACAACCGTTGCATGCACATACTTTTCAATCTATTATGTCTGCGTCTATCTATAGTCTACATACACTCCATAATAATATAATCTTTTTACAACCCTGCTCGATCAGCTTAGTCAAACTCGAACAATAAAATATTTAAATATATCACAGGAGGCTTCGAAAATTGAAAATGCAATTCTCGGCTCAGCTAGAACAGCCCAATGCAAAAGGTTATACCCATATATAATATAATATACAAGGTGGTGATATTCTGTGAGACTATATATATTCAGTATATATCTGTATCCGATCAATGTATAAATTAGACTTTTTATATATGATAATGGCAATAGCTCTCCTACCTTTTTGATCAATGAGCAATACTAGTTTTCTCCATTTACCAATCTGCCATTATTTCTTTTTTCAATCGTCTTCTCTAGCAAAATGAGAATCTCCATCAACTCGGTGATAAGCACAGATGGGACAACTCGCTTCCTCATTCTCGCAATATGTGTTGCTTATAGATGCACGGGACCATGCACTGAAGCAGCCACGGCCGGCCACGAGCTCATCAATGGTTTCAAGGCCACACCCGACCCATCAATCTCTTCATTTCAGTCTCTCCTGGTAGACTCCACAGGTAATTTCTCGTTTGGTTTCCTCCGTATCAATCGGACCCAACTCGCCCTTGTGATTCTCCATGCTGCTTCCTCTGAAAATTTCTGGGTCGCCAACCCAACCAGCTTAGCCCGATGGTCGGACCGTACCCAGTTATCCTTCAACGGCAGTTTGGTAATCGCCGACAAAACCACCGGGATATTTTGGACAACTGGGACGGAGGGGGATCGCGTTGTCCTCTTAAACGATTCGAATCTGCAAATACAGAAGGTCGGAAAGTCCCCCACCGTCGTCTGGCAAAGCTTTGACTTTCCCAAAAATATCCTCGTGGCGAACCAGAATTTTACATCTGCCATGACTCTAGTCTCGTCGAATGGGCTATATTCCATGCGTCTAGGTGAAGATTACATGGGCTTATACGCAAAGTTCAATGAAAACTCAAATCAAATTTATTGGAAGCACAGAGCAATGGAAGTCAAAGCGGAGATCGTAGAAGGGCAAGGTCCCCCCCCACGCTTTAGTCAACTCAAACGGCTACCTGGGTATGTACCAAACAGGTACTGCTCCCGTAGACGTGCAGCCATTTAACAGCTTTCAACAACCATTCAACGCGCTTCTCATTCTCCGGTTAGAACCGGACGGGAACTTGAAAGCGTACTACTGGGACGGGTCTAACTGGGTTCTGGACTACCAGGCGATCACTGGCGCTTGCGAGTTGCCGTCTTCATGCGGTTCATACGGTTTGTGCACGCCCGGGTCAGGCTGTTCATGTCTGGACAATCAGACTGAATTTCGATCCGGCGAGTGCTCTGCAACTGCTTATGGAGACTTTTGCGGAGATATCTCGAAAAGCCAGTTTCGGGTGGTGAGAAGGAAAGGCGTGGAGTTACCGTTCAAGGAGCTGATGGGCTACGAAACGACGTCGTCGCACGAGTTGTGCGAAGCCATGTGCGAAAGGAACTGTAGCTGTTGGAGTGCAGTGTATAACAACGCATCCAGGTTTTGTTACTTGGTGGATTATCCGACGCAAACCATGGTGGGCGTTGGGGACCAGAGTAAAGTGGGTTATTTTAAGGTGCGGGAGGGTACAAGGAAAAAGAAAATGGAATCGGGTTTCGGAGTCAGAACTGGGTTATTAACTGGGCTCGTAGCGTTATTGATTCTGGCAATCGGGTTGGGAAGCTACAAGATGTGGAGGAGGAGGAGATGGATGAAAGGGGTGTTGGAGGAAGAAAACGGGTTATCACCCGGCCCTTATAAGGATCTCGGGTCAGCTAGTTTTCGATCCATTGAGATGAGCAGTAGATAATGTTGACTGAGATAAGTTCTACTTATTTTATTTTATTTTATCCTTCACTATATATTTTAATTTTGATGACGTCATGGATGACATATTGCTTGGTGTAAGTTGGGTGGTTTGACTGGACAGTGGGTTTGTGTGGGGGGTCAGATCAACGTGATCTTTTTTATTTTTGTTGTTTCTAAGGTGGGCCCAGTTTGATCTAAAGTGGAGATGTTTCACGAGCGCGCATTAGTTGATAAATTCTGTAAATATAAAAAAATAAAAATTAAATTTACGTTAGAAAATTATAAAACTAAAATTTAAAATTTGTAAATTTTAATTTACAGGTTACAACCAACAAAATAGGATCCGTACTTGTCCAGAGAGCAGACTTTCGAATAGTTCTCACTTCACGTGATCAACCTTAACTTTCTATTTCATTTTTAATTAAAAAATTTAGACAATTTGGAAAATCAAAACAATCCATGGTTTTAGTTTGTTTTTAGTTTATTAAAAATTGTTTATTGTCAAATTTTATCTTAATTTTTTAATATTATTTTTACATATATATATATATATATATATATATACTACAAGTCCAAAACCATCTATTTTGGCAGATTATATAGGGTGGTCTAATTCAAGCTTTATGACAAGCCCAATCCAATAATTGTTGCTTATCAGCCCATCGTTCGTCTCAATCTGGGAAACAAGCCTAATCCAATAATTATATTACATATATGTATAGTCATTGACGTTTGCAGGAATACTTGAAAGAGCTTCAATTGTGGGCTAATGGGAAACAAGCATAATCCACTACTTGTTCCCTAACATGTATAATAAATACAGATTATAGATTTACAATACACAATACGTGGTGTATGTGTATACACACACACGTACACAGAGAGAGAGAGATATGTCTCTTTTATTGCTTAGTACTGAAGTCTATGATTTCCTTCCGGATTGTCTGTTGTTTTTCGTGTTTCCTTGCAGAGTTGTATATGAAATTCTTACGTCAAATGATTCATTCGGTGTTCTCACAATGCTGGAGTTTGTCCTTACTTTCTTAGTTCTCATCACAGTACGTACATACATATGAATGATATATATATATGTACGTACTTATGTAAGAAAAGTAAAGTTTTCTAACATGAAAATGGTCTGTTGCTTATATACCAAGATATATACTCTCTTCATTGCCTCCTATTTGGTTAACATTTGCAATCTAGTCGTACTTTGCGAACGTATACAGCATTAGGGTTCGCCAAATTCAAAACCTCTATAACACACACACACATATCTTGGAACTTTAGGTAGGTTAAAAGTGGAACTGGGGAACTGAAAGAAGTGTATAACTGATCCTGAATGTGATTAAAAAGGACAAAATAAGAGAGAGAATGAAGAAAATATATTAAAACAAAGGTGGGATATTTTTTTTTAATATAATTCAGAATATTCTTTATTACCATCTTCTGGGTAATTTCCAAACTGCTGGCTTCTTAATTATTTAAATTTAATAAGCATTAATTGTATTTAAAAAATAATAATAACAATAAAGAACGAACAAAGCAGTACGTGCATATTCCAAAACTGACGAATAATAAAAAAAAAAATTTAACTGAAGATGCAAATGGGAATCTTTAATTTGGTAATTAGCTGGTCAAAGTTTAATTAATTAATTAATAAACTGAGAAAAAAAAATGAATAAATAATGGGAAGGAGAAGAAAGGAATGATACTTTGCTGATGATGCCGCCATTGCTTCAATTTCTTGTCTGTGATTATTGCACGCAATCAATCTGTTCCTTTGCTTTTTGAATGCGACGCACCGTTTTGCCATTCCTGGTGTTTTTCAATCTTCATCATTTCATTAATGCCAACCAAAGTTGCTCTAAAATGGTCCTTACAAAAAATTACCATCTAATTGACAAATTACCCACTAGTTTCCTATTACGGACATATAAATAGTGAGATGAAAAAAAAAAGAAAAATAGAATTGTAAAGTAGGATATTTTATTCAATAGAAAAACATAAAAACCACCCTGTAACATAATGATTCTAAGAGCGCATGTACACTGTCATCCTTGGAACAGTTTTTGTGGTTATTATGGGGGAGGCAGACAGTCCAAGCTTCCCTTCTCAGGGAAAATATGTTGTGTTATCATATATATATATATATACATGTGTGTGTGTGTGTGTGTGTATATGTTTATATGTGTATGGATATTTACTTCTACAATACTCCTAGTACACTTTGGAATTTTACACGTTATATACTTGGCACAATCGAAATTGGTGAACGTGGTTATAATTAATTTTAGATTTGTGTGTTTTTTTCTTTTTGTCAGATTCGTAAAAGGTTTAATAAAAATCATTACATTTTTTAGGGGAAAAAAAATATATATATATATTATGTCAAAGTTAATTGATCACATCCATTGGATAATTATGAACAACAGTAAACTATTTTTGATTAGAAATAACCCTTTTAATTTCCATAAATTAATGATTACATATAATTAGGATTAAAACTAAAACTAAAATTAAAATTAGGATTAATTAATTGATCGAACATGAGAAATTTAATTTTTTAAAAATAAACAAAAAATTAAATTAAGCGGGTTATCTGTTTTCCGGTAACATTAAAAAAAAAAAAAAAAAAAAAAAAAAAAGAGTATACTTTTAAAATCAATTATTGAAGTCCCTTCACATGCAATGTCTCTGTTTTATATACAATAGATTTATATATAATTACAGAAAGTCGTTGTCTAATTCCCCGAGTTGTTAGTACCAAATTACGTGTAATTAATTGTCAGTATATATATATATATATATACACATACCCTCCTACTGATACTTCCAAATCTCCAAACTGATAAAATTAATTTTCACCTAAAAGTTATTTATAGTATACACATGCAGCCACAGTTAGTATTAATTAACTTATACATGTAGAATTAAGAATGGGAAAAAGCCTTGCTGCTACATTTATTATATTTAGGCTTATAAAAAACCGAAAAGAAAAGGGTTTTGTAACTGAAGCTTAATTTAGTTAATTAAATTTAATGAGTTAATAATGAATATAAATATTGAGGATACTTGAATCATAGTTGTCTTTAGTTGTAGTAGGTGAATCTCAAGACACTCTTTAATTAGTGGCCCCTACAATCACCATCATATTATATACATGTTATCCAAATGCCTCTGTTCTCACTATATTATCTATATATTTTTTAAATATAAAATAATTCGACCCACTTTTTTATTTTAATCTCAAACTCTAAATTTTACAAATAAAATATTAATTCGCCGGAACCAATAAATAGTTACATGTTCGGTATAATGCAAAAACTAAAGCCAAGTTTGATGTTACTTTTTTTTTTTTTTTTTTTAATTTTAGTGTGGGATAAGGTCAAACACTAATTTATTAGTCCGTTTTATAAGCATGTATATATATATATTTCATTAAATAAATGCAAATGAACTGGCAAAAAGAGGGAAGAAAGTTTTCGACTCTCATGGCGGAAAAAAAAATTTTAAGAGAGAATCGAATTTAATGGTTGTTTTCAATATTTTCTTTCTCTAATTTTAATTTTAATTCTCTTAAAACCCTATGAAAGGACAGATCACATGGGAAAACACAGATCTCTTTTGTCAACTTCAATCTTTACATTTTCTTCATTAAGCGTGTAGAAGGAAGAGTAACCCACCAGTCTCTTAAATTTCTTCTTTCATCGGAAAACAAGAGTTTACCCTTCTCTCCCTTTTCTCTCTTCTTCCATTTACTATCACACACACGCGCACACACATATATGTATATATATAGTATTGTATTGTATCATTTCTATGTGTCTGTATGTAAGTGGTGAACATCTTCCATTATTTTCATCTGGGTAATAAATCTTTTCTTCTGCAAATGAGGAGTATAGCATCATGTTACAGTGAACACGCCATTAAGGTCTCTGATTCATACTGCTCGGGCCCTTCAAACCAGGCATGTGTTCCCCCAAACCTCCCCCCTTCCATACCAAATGCAGTTACGTGTATATACAAATCCAAACTCTCCTCTCAGAAGCAGCTTCTTATCACCCTCGCATGGCGCCGCAACATCGACGGCCATGGCGCCGCTATCAACATCGGCGACAACGTGTCGTCTCCGTCAAAATTCAACGCGAACTTTCATCACTTGACGAAGAAGAAAGGCAGCAAAATCGTTCAATATTCTTACAATTCCAAGGCTGAAATCTTCTGGGACTTCTCCGTTGCTCGTTATGAAAATGGACCCGAACCATCCAAAAGGTTTTACCTCATTGTTTTTGTTGATTCAGAGCTTGTTCTTCTCCTCGGAGACATGAAGGAAGATGAACTGTTCGCCAAAATGCTCCAACCAGAAAACCCACCTGCAAAATTCTCCTTAATTTCGAGAAGCGAGCATTTTTCCGGCCATGCTGTGTATTCAACAAAAGCCAAGTTCTCCGACACGGGAGCAGCTCACGATATATTGATCAGGTGCGGCGGAGAAGACGGAGGATCGTCGTGGAAGAACCCGGTTTTGTCTGTGTGGATCGATAATAAGAGAGTTTTCCAAGAGAGAAAATTGAAGTGGAATTTCAGAGGGAACCAGACAATATTCTTGGACGGTCTGCTGGTGGACATGATGTGGGATGTACATGACTGGTTCTTCAACGAAACGTCGTCGTCGTCGTCGTCTTCTGGCTGTGCTGTTTTCATGTTCAGGACAAGGAGTGGATTAGATAGCAGGCTGTGGTTGGAGGAGCAGAAAGAAAAGAGAGAAAGAGCCGCTCCCGAGTTTTCATTACTCATTCGTGCCTGTAAGAGTCCCGGCTAATCAAATTTTTTAATTTTAATTTTAATTTTTTTTTTTTTTTAAATCATGTTCAATATTCCAGTTTATTATGTCTTTATGGGTTTATTTAATCTTTTACTTCTGATTGTATGAAAAAGAAAAGAAAACAAAAGGCTAATCTTATGATTATAGGGAAAATATAAATATAAAGATATGCTTAACTTGGGAGTAGGGAGATAATGGGTTTTGGTAAGATAAGAAATTTGTTCAGTGATTTATTCTTGTCTCCCTGGTTTACATATATCAATTGTAAAGGCAACTTTTCTCTTGCTTCTTTCAATTTCCCTCTAAACATGGGAGTATTTTTTCTTTTCAGCAAATATGATTTCCGTTTAGTATCTTTTTCCCTTCATCTTTCAGCGACCACAGAGTTTATGTAACTGGAAAAAAGCTTTTAGTTCTTTTCCTCCTCCAGTAAAAATGAAAACTGTAAGCTTCGGTGCCGCAGAATAAACCAAACTTCAGATTAATGAAATATATAAAAAAATTATAATTTAAGATATCATTTAATTACCTTCATACTAATCTTTTAATAATTGGTAAGCCATATCGCGTGTGCACATAAGTACGACACGTACATATCGTATCATTTTTACATCGATTCACCTCAACAAAATAATAATGTGAAAATGAAAAATGAGGAAAATAATAAGAAGAGAAATTTAGAATATTATGTGGGAGATATATGCCCAAAAATAAAAGGACGTATCTGATTTCATGTCCCATTTCAAATCGGGGGGTCCATGGCAATGACTATTGCTTATTGTGACACTGATATTGTGATGAATAGTGAAAAATGTTGGTTGATTCCCAATGAATATATATATTATATATATGTATATAATATGATGGTGTTTTTTTTTTTTTTTTGGGCCTAAACGTGAAAATATATGGGCTTTGAACATTTAAAAAAATAATAATAATATCGTATTGATATGTACTTATACTATACGTGATAATTAGACAAAAAACTATTATAATATAAAATTGAAATAAAAAGAGTTATAAAAATAAAAAAAGTGATACGAGTAAATTTGGTACCATATTTGGCATCCTGTAAAAGCTCTTTTCATGAGCAGGCGTTTCATGGACATTCCATGATAAAGTTAATTAAGTCATTTATGTTAGAACTGTCAAGGTTGCACTGTTCACCAAAGAAAGTTAAATGTCCCTTTCATTTAATTTTCTTTCATAATACGCTGTCGTTTTCGTCCCTTTATTTATTTATTTATTTATTTTTATTTTATTTTATTTAAATAAAAAATCAGACCCTTTGAGAGCTTAAGAGTCACAGAGGTCTGTATACATATGAGAAAAGGAGAAAGCAGGCCTTGTAATGTTTTTGTTTTACAATTGAATGGGCTTTTTACTCATACACATTACGTTTCTCAGCCCAGTAAGGCAAAAATCATAAATACATTTTTAAAACTAATTATTATAAAATTAAATTGTAAAACTTTACATTTTTTTTTTATTTATTCTCTAATTTAATTCGTTTTATTCTTAAATTTAGTTCTATAAATGCGAAAATATATTTTTATGAATGTTGCGTAAAATTAGAAATGTCAATAACACCATTTGTAAAAATTATATTTGTAAAAATTCATCGCAAGTTTATAGGGGATGAACTTTTTTGTAAAAATATATAACTCTTGATGGACATTAAGGGATTAAAAATTATTTCTGTAAAAAATAATTAAAGAAAAAGATAACATTAAAAAAAATATATTACAATTTTCTCTCTCACGTTGAGTTCAACCATAAATAGACTTAAATCTTGGAGTGTAAATGTAATACCCTTAAATTAATTTTAATAAATTTAAAATTAATATAGAAATATAATTTTTAATTTTTTTGAATTTTTATTTAATGTGAAAATGAAGAAAATTAGGTAGGGGATGAAATTGAAAATAATTTCGAGAAAAATTGGTGAAAATTTATATTATGGGGGTGTTTTGAAAGAAAAATCGAAAACTTG